CAGAGTGTTCTCATGGAAGTCTCTCTCGACAAACCATCGACGAACCGACGCCAGTAACCGCGTTTTTTGGCTTTAATCAAGCTCTTAAAAGTTTTCTCGAGGTCGGTGTACCGCTCGAAATCCTCGACCTTACCGTGTTTGCGGAAGCGTTTAAACGCGGCGGACTTCTCGCTGTTCGCGTCGGTGCAATCCTTATCCCACCACGGAGTGAGAGGTCGTTTGCGAACGAAAACACCCGGAACGCGTTTCGTCTGTGCTTGAAGAGCGCAGTCAACGATAAGTCGCGATAAAAAGGAGTACTCATCCAGCGGAGGGAGTATCTCAACCGAATCAGTACCACCGAGAACCGCGGACGCAAATTTTTGCCAGTCGATGTTTTTCGTGAGGTCGTACGCGATGTCAACCGAGCGAGTGGAAGATGAACCATTGGTAATAGAAATTTTGATTGGCAAGTGGTCACTACCGTAGGGATCTTGAATTACTTTCCACGAGCAATCCAACGATAGTGAACTCGAACTGAGGGAGAGGTCTAATCTACTTTCTCTTGCTGGAGGTTTGGCCACTCGTGTTACTTCCCCAGTGTTTAGAATTGTCATATTGAAGTTATCGCAAAGGTCGTATATCAGGGTTGAGCGGTTGTCATCGTACAGTTCCCCCCAGCCTGTACCGTGGGAGTTAAAATCTCCTAATATCAACCGAGGCTCAGATAAAGCTGAGCAGATATCTGAGAGACCTTGGCGAAAAATCGCAGTTCTTGGAGGAAGATATACTGAGGCAATACTGAGGCTTTTACCTCGAATATTTACCTGACATGCGACAACTTCAATGCCTGTCACGGAAGGCAGATCGATTCTATGAAAGGAATGGAGCTTATTAATCCCGAGAAGCACCCCTCCATACGAATCTGCTCGATCAAGGCGAATAATGTTAAAATCGTGGAAAGGGAGATCGGTGTCTGAAGAAAGCCATGTTTCACAAAGAGCAAATGCATCACAAAGTGAGTTGTGAACTAAAAATTTGAATGTGTCAAGTTTCGGTATAAGACTTCTACAGTTCCACTGAAGAACAGAGATCATATCCCCGACCTCATTCGGAAAATTATCCATCAAAGGATATGATCGATGCAAGGAAGGACCACCTAGAAGCTAGTTGCTTCAAAAGAGTTTTCACGAATGGAAGCACTAAATTAATAATGTTCCGAGTTGAGTCAGAGACGTTGAATATATCGAAGATGCTCTCCACAATTCCAGAAAACGTGAACATGGCATCATGTTCTTGCTGATTATTCAGCTGTTTTTCTGACTGAAAAACTGGGATATCTGGGGTTTTAGATGATCCCGGAAGTGGCGGAAAGTCCTTGTTAAAATTACAAGATTTAAATCCCGGTGGTGGGGGTTTCGGTACATTTCCGCTACCTCTTAAATTTGTCAAGGTAGGTTGGTAGTCCATACGAGAGGTCTTACGCGGATTTTGAGTGACGTTTTTTTTTAATCGCTTTCTCGTGTTGCCTTTAAACACAAAGGGACTACCTTCACCAACCTCTGAGTCAGAGCCCTGATCATCATCTGGCAAAATGGAGTATGTGTTTTTGGTTTTTGGGGTGGTTTGGGAAGATGAAGCGGTGTTTTTTAAGAGTTCTGCAAGTGACCTCTTGGAGCGAGCTTGCAAAGACCGCTTAAGTTTTTCTCCCTGCTGTTTGTACTTCGGGCAATCAACCAAAGCATGCAGAGTATCCTTGCAGTAAACACATTTTGGGGTAGCCCGGCAAGGACCATCTGCATGCAGCTCGCCGCATTGATCGCAGCTCGGTTTGTTGGAGCAGAAGTCAGCGGTGTGACCAAGTTGCTTGCATTTTGAGCAGTTCATTACCCGCGGTACAAACAAGCGTACAGGCAGTCGAACCTTCCCAATTACGACGTAGTCAGGTAGCGCCGATCCTGAAAAGGTCACACGGAACGAGTCTGACAGAGAGTACGTTTTTTTCGTGCCAATGAGAGACACTGATTGCATTTGGATGCAATCCAGAATCTTCACTTTCGGAAGGGCACGGTTTTTAAAAATACCGAAGGATTCGGCATGAAGGAAATCTTCGCGAGTTAGACTCGCTTCGGTGACCACTCCTTCGATTTCTACGTCGCAACTGGGGATGTAGACTCGATATTCCATCGTAAAAAGCTCATAGGCAACAATCCGGTTTGCCTGTTTCAGGTCATCAACGGTAACGCGCAGTTTGTTTGGCGTCACCTTAAATATATCGGTTACGGCCGAAAAATGTTTTGTCAGATCCTTCGAAATCCGAGAAATATTCAAAGGTTTTTGTTTGGGCCGGAAAAAAACAACCCACGGACCTTTTGAGCCACTTGGGTAAGCTTTATGGCGGGGGGTCGCAGAAATTTTTAAGGGATCGGTTGGAGTAGGGGGAACAGGTGGACGAGGGGGCGATGGTGGAGAAGGGGGGGCAGGGGGTGCAGGAGGCTGTTGTTTAGACATCACCTTTGGGTAAGCTCCAGTGCTCGTTTTGGGGTCCGAAGTAGAGTCCCCTGAGGTATCCATTTTCTCTTCAGTGAGAAGCAGATTTTCGAATGATGGAGATTCAACAGACTCATCATCGGAGATATCTGCTAGCGAAATACCCCCGCCATCATTTGTTTCATCCATTGCGGGGTCTTACGTACCTCCGCAACAGATTTCGACATAAACAAGAAAAAAAAAATATGCGTAAGGAAAACAAAAAAAAAATAAATAAAAAAAAATAATAATAAAAAAAAATATATATATATATATATATAAGAAAAAAACTTATCTAGAAATATACGGTAAAAATAATACTTAATCCAACAAAGCAAAAAAAAATGTGCCAGGAAAGTTAATCAACACTATAGGGCGATTAATCAGACTGCAAAAAAAAACAGTAAGTGAAAAAAAAAGAAAAAAAAAATGAAAACTTTTTCAGGAAAACCAAAAAGGTGTCAGAAAAGTTAATCAACACTATAAGGAGATTAATCAGCAAAAATTAATAGCAAAAAAAAAACCAAAGTGAAAAAGAAAAAAAGGAAAACTTTTTCAGGAAAAAACAAAAAGGTGTCAGAAAAGTTAATCAACGCTGTATGGAGATTAATCAGGTTGCGGAGAACGGGAGATAACCGTTTGTTACTTAACTCTCCACACAAGCGCACGGAGTGTGGCTGATGACGATGATCTACTGATGTGAGGATGGTGATGATCGTTCTATTGTTGCCCTCGAGTGTTTTCAACAAAGCACCGGCTGGCTCGCCGGCTGGTGAACTCGATGACCTTGATGTTGCAGTGGCGTGATGCGATGAAATTTGTTGGCTAAAGATGAACAGCTCATCTGCCGGACTCGGCCGGAAATGAATGCTTCCTTTCTCGAACGGTTGTGCGGCAAATGCAATTCCGCGATGCTCACTACACTTGTGTATACTATAACACCACTCAGTGTGAAAGCGGATTGAAAAAAAAACCTCAATAGGGAAAAAAAACTAGTACTGATAACGGAGTGCAGGCAACACTAGACCGAAACAGTCGAACGTTCGATGCGGAATGCGTGTGCGGTTTGTTCCCATTAAAAAAAGCTTTGAGGTGGCAAATCAGCAACACTTTAGGACTCTAGGAGCAGTTCCACACCAAATGACGAATCGAACCGATGCGACCTTCTCCGATTTGGTTAACGAGCTAATTCGCAAATCCATTTATTCTTGTATATTTTTTTTATTTGGATGAAAATTTGCAGAAACGTTTGTTTTGCCCAACAATGCCATTTTCCATCTTAAAATCGCAATTTTGAATCAAGTCTTATTTATTAAAAAGGGCCTATAGAAAACATTGGGCTTATCTTCGGGAAACTGTTGCTCGAAAATGGTTTCTCCGATCGGTTTGGCGTCTTGGGCAATGTTGTAGGTAATAGCAGAGGCTATTTGAAACAAATATGTACACTCTAAAAAAATAGCACGATATGAAAATGAAACCTTAAAAGTAATTTTTCTCCAATACAGTTTATTTTTATTTTTTAAATATTTTGATAGGTTTTAGGGGATAAAAAATGTCATATATTGCACTATAGGTCATGATGGAAAAATGATGGACAAAAAAGTTATGATTTTTCGATTGTCCAGTTCCAAGAATTTTTTTTTCCGAAAAATCCGAATTTTTTAAATGAAAATATCATAGAGGTAACTCTAAGACTAGAAGGTCCCGAAGATACGTGCTCAACTTTTTGGCTCAGCGCTGGTACTGTCTTCGGTCCCAAGCTAAACGATTCACCCCTCGAAACATAGGAAAATCTACTAAGCCCTAATTTTATCTGTCAAACTTTCATAGCGAATCAAAACAAACATTGTGTAGTACTAGAATTTTGACTAGAATGAGGTACGTTAATCGTTTGCTTGGGACCAATAGGCTAGTCAAGTAGTGAGCAAATTTAAAATCGTTAGTTTCGTATTGATTGTTAATAATATCCTTTTGATAATGATATGATCAAAATTATCCAACCTAGGTGTATCAGGGTGGCAATCAATGATGAAAGCAACACGACCTCATCATCTATTACTTTACTCAGATATGGACTAGTGCTTTCTGGATATTTATTCATGAAATACCCTGTGGACCTCTAACTCGTGAAGAGTGGTCTCAAGTTGAGTTCGATACATTTTATAGATTGCAAAAAATATAGAAATTGCGTGTTGCCAAAAATGGGAAGGTACCGCATTTTTCTAAATTCACAAATTTTAAACGTGGTGTGAAGGAAACTGCAAGCATCTCGATATAAATCGATAAAAGGCTTGTTTAATTGCTTAAAGTTTCAGCAAGTTAATGATCCGTTTGTTACCTCGATTTAAAGTCTGGAACGCGCACAAACTGGTCAACTTCAAATTGGTGTTTTTCTGTTAAAAATGCATAAAAAATACCTGAAATGCTGCATTTTGGAAGTTGAGTGATTATACAATGGTTGATATGATGAGTTTTCACCGTTTGCTCTCCAGTTTTCAAAATGACGTCCAAGCAAGAGGAGCAGCTTGTCAAAATTTTGCTCGCGCAGCAAGAGAATCCGACGTTCTCACACGCCAAGGTGGCAAAATTGCAGGATGCGGCCAAATCGACCGTGACAAACGTTTTAAAAGTGTTCGGGGAGCGTCTTTCGACCGCCAGGAAGCTGCGACATTCGTAATCCAGACGTAATCCATTTTGACTAAAAAAATGTTTTAAGAAATTATGGAATAATAAGACATAATGAAAATATTTTGATTATGTAAACAACAAGAAAAGATTGTTAAGTTTGTGTAATACACATAATACCAGCCAATTTTGCTACATGAGAGTCGCAATAAGCGATTTTGTAATTTATCTCACCCACTCTTCGCTCTTCACTCTTTGCGAAGAGGCGATCAGAAAAACGCTCATTGTGACTCTGTAAAAGCTAAATTTGCAGGTTTGATGTGTGAAACACAAACTTTACAATCTTTTCTTATTACTTACACATACAAAACATCATCATGATATCCTATTATTCTATAATTTCATAAAACATTTTTTTAGTCAAAATGAATGGAAGGCACCCTGCTTGCATTTACTCAAAGGCGCTCCAATGCACTCAAAGGATTGGTTTTTGTTGGACACAGCTGGGTCGAGCAGAAGCACCAATCTACTCGAAGGTTACATTTTGTCAGGCACAATTAGATGTAACAGCTATCAAGAAACGCACATACCTATTTGGTGGTAATATTTTGCTTTACGGAAATGGATTTTTATCAACCCTCAGGATTTCAGTTCAACTCAGGAATGTGCCAACCAGAAATGCCAGATTTACAGACATGTCTGTAAATTTACATACGGGAAACAGCCTTATTGTTGCGGTACGTTAGCAGCTTTAGAAGCCTATTGTTGTGTATGGAGACCTTTTTTTTCCTTTATTTGAGAGATTTTTAGCCATAGGCTAGTTCATCTCTTGTGTATGGAGACCTCCATACACAACAATAGGCTTCTAACGCTGCTAACATACCGCAACAATAGGGCTGTTTCCCCTACTTTTATTTTTTTCACTGACATTTTTTTCGTAACAGACATTTACAGACTTTTTTGTTTTTTCACAGATATTTATAAGTAGGTAAATATGATTATACTCAACGTTGAGTTTCCACACTTTACTGGGTGGTTTTGCTCCTCCGTTTTTGACAACATCATAAGAAGATAAAAAGACAAACTAGTCAAAAGTAAAAGTGAACTGGCCGTTCGGTACTGTTTTCTTACCGTGTGTCAATGTACTGTCATGTTGTATCCAAAACGAACATTTTCAATACGATTTATTTGGATACGTCAACTCACGTTGGCCGGTCTATAACTTGACTGTCTATAGTCACTGTCACTGGAAAAGTGAATGAAACGGACCGTGTGTTTCCATTCTATTTCATCTTTTTATTCGAGAACACCCATCCCCGGATCGAAGACATCATATCAAGAAGACTGGCAGCTTTGCCAGAATCCAAGCGACAGATACAATAGCACTGCGCTTGAGTGAAGGTAGAAGCAACGCATAGAAAAAAGAGCAAATACACAAACCTTTCTTCTGAGAATGTAATCTTTGCTATCGAATTCGTTCAAAACATTTACCTTTGTGCGGCGGAAATGGAAGTGTTGCCAGTCTTCTTGACTTGTTGTCTTCACCCGGATGCAGTTTTAGTGCGGAACAAAGCAGCCATTTTCGCCGTTTTGTACCTGAATAAGAGTCGTAAAAATGTGGGAAAAATCAAGAAAAATCAAAGGGAACCCGAGAGGAAATCCCATAACGAACTTTTCCAAAGGATCAGGTAAGCTAAGGTAGGTTAAGGAAAATCAATATAATATCATTATGTTGAGTTCCGTGTGGTTTGAGGTATCGCACGACGCATTTCGGCGCATGTCAGAATATGTCCACTTCCTGGGGATACGGTACATCTGAAAGAGGCCATTGTGATCATTGGGTCTGAATATGTCCACCATTGAACTTATAGTAAAATTCTAATGTGTTTTGAGATGTCGCATGATGAGTTTTTGATATGCCAATCTTTTGCGAATTCCTCAGTGGAATCTGGAATTCACATTTTTGTTCATATCTTCGGAGCCATAATTCCGACACATTTTCCAATCCCGTTGAGATGAGTCTATTGGTATATGCCGCCATTCGTTTATCCTTGGAACGAAATTGTGTTTTTCAAGTGATATCATAGCCTTTCGGTACACCTGTGGTGTACGAGAAAGGCAAAATGGTTGGTATCAGCAAATTGTGTTATATTTAGCCAAGTTTTTCTCCCCCAGGCGTGTAATTATTTTGCAAAATGTAATGAATATGTTGCTTGATGTATCTTATTTTAAAACTGTATTTGTAAAATCGTTACAACAAAGTTAGTGTTTAACGCCAATTCTTCGTGCAGTACAGTACTCTCAATTTCTCGATGATCTTTATTTCGATATTCCTTCCCCTCTGAATCGTTTTAGCAACTCTGATCCTGATTCATCAACACTTTTTGAGCATGAAGTGTTTAGAATCGTATTAATAAGCTTAAAAATTGCTATTTTGATTGCCGATTTCTCCATATTTAGGTGGTGGAGAGTTGAATCTCTCAATAAGATGTGCTCTTTCCCGCGCTGCTGGCGTGCAAAAGGACCAGTACAAACTAACTAACGAATTTCCACACTACATGGCATATAAGATCGACTCAAATTTTAGTTTAAATAACTCAAACTCTAGAAAACGTAGTTTACTTGTAGACTGAGTAAAATTGTCCGAGCCTCATAAATCTTTTCAAATATGACAAAAATCGACGAAAAATTTACTCATTCTAGAGGTATATTAATTTCATATGTACATCGAGGTGTTGCTCATATTAGAAAACAAATTCCTGTGAACTATCGGAAAGTTTTACTCAACCTATGAGTTAACTCTATTTTCAAGAATATGAGTGAACTAATCTCAACTTTGAGTCGATCTAATTTGTCATGTAATCGTAATTTATCTTTTTATTAATTGCTTTTAACGCATACGGCGTAAATGGATGCATTCCCATCTCCAATTAGGTTGAATTCGTTAAAAGCAGGTCTTTGTTGCTCGAACAGGACTTTACTGACATTTCAAATTTTAAGCAACCACAAGTTCGCAACTCTATTTGAAATTAATAAAAAATAATTTTAAACTTTTATTTTTATATGGTGCATTTTTGATTTTGAGTCTACATATTTTTCCAAATAGTCCCAGTCATTACCTACAACATTGCCCAAGGCACCAAACCGATCGGATAAACCATTTTCGATTAACAGTTTTCTGAAGATTAGCTTAAAAGTTTCTAAAGGCCCTTTTCAAAAATAAGGCTTGATTCCAAATAGCGATTTGAAGATGGAAAATGGCACTTTTGGACAAAAGGAACGTTTTTGCAAATTTTCATGGAAATAAAATAAAAACATAACAAAAAATGCATCCATTTTGAATCTCGCACAAAACTTCAAAATGGCGTATTTAATATTTTGCAACAAATCATAGCTTGAAAACATCACCTCCAGTCGCAATGACGACTGATACAAAGTTGTAGGAACAAATAATTCCTCTTCAGCAAAAATATATACGGTAAAATATTTCAAGCAGTTTTGGGTAGAAAATCTTAAAAAAAAACTGTTTAAAACTTAAATAACATAAAATTACGCTCTAGAATATTTTTTGAATATTTTCAAGCTGGACACATACACATTACGGGTGGCCAGTGAATTTTTATTTTGAAATTCCCGGTTTTTTCCCGGTTCAAATCTTAAGAAATTCCCGATTGAAAATTGAAAATGAAATTGAACGCATTTTTAAGAACGTGCTGAAAAGAATTTACTGAAGAGAAAAAAAATTTGACTTAAGAAGATTCCCAAGATTCTGGAGCTTTAAAATTTGTGTAGAGTCTGAAATTAGATTTAAAGAAATTTTTGATAAATAACAATCTTCGTGATGCACGATTTGTAGAAAAAATAATTACAATGTGAGATTTTGAAAAAAATTCAAGAACACAGATTTGATTAACAAAAATATCATAGGGGCTGTTCATTAACTACGTTTCCAACCCCCCCCCCCCCCTAAACTGTCTACGTAGTTTATGGACAGCTCCATACTTATTAGTCGTGGAGTCATAATTGTCACGCTCTGAGACTTGGAAGCATTTTAAGGGTTATAACAAATTACAGAACAATCTGTAGACTCTAGTGGACAAACCCTGGAGTTTCTAGTAAAATTTAAAAGAATTCAAAGTGCTGATTTCAAACAAATATTGCGAAGGATTCCCACACAGTTTTCGAAGGAGAAGTTCTGAGCAGAATTCCAGAATTATTCTGATATGAAATTCTTAGAAATTGATCGATTAATTTGGAGAAGAACTTACTTACCTCACCAATCAGGCTAAGGCCTGGAGAAGAACGCAAGTTCTAAATTAAATTGTTAGGTAATTTTAGAAGATTTAAAAAGGAGTTGTGAAAAACAAAACTTTGCGGAAAATTCCTATGTGATTTTGACGACATTTGTATTAGAATAGTAAACAGATTTCTAAGAGTGGTCTGGCAATAATTTCAACCCTAGTACGAAAGATTCATCACAGAACTCCAACAAAAAATTCTTTAAAATACTCCAAGGGGTTTCTAAATAAAATTGCGAAAGATTTCTGCTATTTTGAACATAGTTAAAATAATTTTTTTAATAGATTTTCAAAGGAATCAAAGCCTCCGGATAGACTCAAGGGAATTCTAAGAAAGATTTCAATTAAATTTTTAGAAGGGGTTGCAAGGAAATTCCAAAAAGAATTCAACGGTAATTATTCCGCGGAGTGTTTTCTGTTTTTTTTTCAGAATAATTTCAAGATAATTCAGAGTAGAATTACAAGTTAATTCTTCTGAACAACGAAAAATTAAAACCCCGGAAAAGAATAATTCAGTTTTGGTTTTTGCAAATATTTGTTTCCAAAGTCCAGCATCTTCAATATATTCTTTTAAGGACCATGCACTTTACATCTGAAATTGAAACGACAAAAACCAATTTTCAATATTGCTGAGTGATTAAATTCTAAAACAATAAAACGGGAAACTGAAAAATTTATGCAGCAAATAGAGCAAGACATTCATTTGGTAAAATATCACTTATTTAACGTCGGTCTCTGTTCCGCAATCTAGTAT